ACAAATTTAACATCCATCAATCATGATTTTGACATGGGCACTGGACCGTGAAGGTTTTTGTACCAAGATCTTGCCTCTGCTACTAATGACTTCTCTCAACATAGGCAATTGGGTGAAGGAGGTTTCGGTGTAGTTTATAGAGGCTATCTAGTTGATGCAGACATGTTGATTGCTGTAAAGAAAACTTCTAAAGCATCAAAACAAGGAAAAAAGGAGTATGTAACAAAGGTCAAGATCATTAGTTAGTTAAGGCATCGAAAATTTGTGCAACTTATTGGTTGGTGTCATGAAAGGAGTGAGTTCTTGCTTGTTTATGAGTTCATGTCGAATGGTAGTCTTGATTCTCATCTCTTTGGCAAAAGGAGTCCTTTTCCTTGGCATATAAGGTATAGAATAACACTCAGATTGGCCTCAGCAATTCTATATCTTCACGAAGAGTGGGAGCAGTGTGTGGTGCATAGGGATATTAAGTCAAGTAATATAATGTTGGATTCCAGTTTTAATGTTAAGCTTGGTGACTTTGGGTTAGCTAAGTTGATGGACCATGACTTAGGTAGAATTACAATAGGTTAGTAGGTACTTTTGGCTACTTGGCTTCAGAGTACATAAGTACAAGAAAGGCAAGTAAAGAGTCAGATGTGTTTAGTTTTGGGGTGGTGATATTAGAGATTGCTACTGGACGAAAGTCTACATATTGAATGGGGGAAGAGTTTGATTTGGGGTTGGTGGAGTGGGTCTGGGATCTTTATGGGAAAGGAAGACTTCTTTTCGATGTTGATGAGAGAGTGAGGAGGGATTTTGATGGGAAACAAGCAGAATGTTTGATGATTGTTGGAATGTGGTGCTCTCACCCTGATAGCAACTTAAGGCCATCAATTCAGCTAGCAATTCAAGTTCTAAAGTTTGAGGCAGTAATGCCAAATCTTCCTGCAAAAATGCCTATACCTATGTACCATGTACATACACCATTAGTTAACTCTAGAGAACCTTCTGTTTCTTATTCTAGCATAGAGGCAGGTAGTTAAGACATTATTTAGTTAACTTTCATCAAATAAAACATCTGGTTATCTAACTCTTTTCAAGAACTCCTTAAGTTGAATTTGAATGCTTAGTTAGATACATTTATTACAACATTGCTTACTAGTGAATCTAATACCCCACTAGAAGAGACTACAATTGATGGTCATTAATCCTTGAGAAAGAGCTTGCCTAATAAGAAGTGTGGCATGCAAATCATGGTAAATAACTTATATCCATACTTAGATATAGTGACGATGTTGATGTGCTAATTTCACTTTAACAAGAGTATTAGTGAGTTCAAATAATATAATAATAAAAATTAAGTATTGTTTTATAGAGATTGTAGATTAATTATGTATCAAAGTTAACTAATTCTAATTTTATTTGAATAATTGAAATTAAATTATTTGAATGAACTAATTAACTAACCCAATAAA